CGCCCCGACCGCTGTGCCCCCGCCCCTCGCCGCCCAGGCCCCGCCTCGATAGCCACGACCACGCCCCTCTCCGCACAGCACCGCCCATGTCACTGTGGCCCCGCCCCTCTCCGCCCAGGCCCCGCCCCTCTCCCCATCACCGCGCCCCCCGAGGTGTCGCGAGTGCTGTGCGTGCTCAGCTGCACCGGCCGGGCGGCCTTCGGGCACCTAGCCCGGCACGGCCTCATTCTCTGCGCCGAGAGTCCCCTGTCCCACTAATAACATTAATGATAATGATAATGATAATGATAATGATAATGATAATGATAATGATGATCGCAGGGGCCACAGGCAGCCAAGTCCCCGCCTGGGTGGCTGCACTGCCCGCAGCAGAGGACAGCAGCCTGCCGTCTCGCTTATTGCATTACACTCCAGGCTTTCCAAGTAGGATTTCCCAAATGGGGGGAAGCAGGCGAGACTGTGCAGGAACATGGATGGATGCCCTGGTATCCCGGTAGCTCCTGGATGAGAGCCAGTGCATGGGGTGCGTGGGGTGGAAAGCGACCCATGGTGTGACCTGCACCCGTCGCGTGGGTGCCCCCGGGGCGCTCCACCAGCGTGCAGCACCCGCGGCACCCGCCCTGCCCTGCATCCAGCTGGAAAACCGGGTGGAAAACCCTGAGCAAGAATAACCACGCAGGTGACATCCGTGTTCTGCGCTTCCCCCTTCCTCCCTCCCCTCCTCATCTTCGGGCACGGGAGGCAGGAGAAGGAAAATTGGAAGAGATGCACAAAACCATGCTGTTCTCTGAAGCAGAGCAAATCCGGGCCATTTGGGGAGCTTTCCCGGTGGCTTTTCCCTGGACKCTGGAGCCACTTCCAGCAGTGGTTTTGCATCAGGATGAGACAGAGTCTGGGAAAACCGCAGCCCTGCTTCCCGCCGCCACCACCCGAGCGGTTGTTGCCCTCGGCCCCACAGCCGCCATCGCTCCCTCTGCTCTGCAGCCTCTAGATGGGGCCTGTGCATCATCCTCTGCCTCGCCGGGCCTCGGAGCTGGAGCTGGAGGAGCCTCCACGTCCCCCTCTCCAGCAGAGCACCCTCAGGCGCTTCCCAAGCGCCAGGAGACGTGGGACGGGCAGCACTGCAGCAACCCCCTCCCTGTGCCGGAGCAGATCCCACTTTCCTATTTGCGCTCTCCAAATATTTGCAGGCAGGCGGGCCGGCGAGCCTCTGTTTGACCTCCTTATCTCAGGGAGTTTCCTTCCCGCTGCTCTCCCCGCTCCGCACAGCTCCGGCCTGAGCGCGCCGAGCTCGAGCTYGCAGGGGCAGCGCTGCCGCTCGCTCCCGCAGCACAGAGTGCGGGTGCACGGGGGCCTTCCCAGGAAACCCTCCGCTTCCCCAGGGAATCCCTCCGCCTCCATGGAAGCTGTGGCTCCCACGCTGCCCACAGCCACTTTGTTGGGAATCTCTACCTACATGTATGGATAAAGTGAATCACAAGAGCGGGATCCGTGCGCTTTGGGGTCCCAAAAGATTGCTGCACCCAAGGTCTCTCTTTTTCCCTTCTGTCAACATTGTACATGTAGGGAGCACCACCAACAGCCCCCGGACACCACGGGTGAATTTCCACCGCCTGAGATAAGAGCCTGTCCTTATAGATGGCAGGAGCGACGTGGTTTTTGCCACGGGTGATGCTGCACACGGTGGCCAGCAGCCTCCTCCCAGGTGAGGATGCAGAGTGACCCGCGCTGTTCCAAAGACACGTGTATTTTAAAGACCATTTAAGCCAGCAGCCCGTGGCTCGTCCACCTTGGCCTTGGCCCCTCTCCGTCCCTGCAGTGSCGGGCCATGGCGGGAGGCGCGGGCTGCCCCGCGGGCCCCGCTCGCTGGGCAGGGGCTGGGCGTCGCTGCGCAAACAGGAGCGGCGGCAGCGCGGCCCGTCCCGGCGCCCCCGCACCCGGTGTTTGCCAAGGGGCAGGAGCGCGCAGGCCTCTGAGCAAACAGCAGCCGCCTCCTCCCGGTCCCTTATCCCGCCYGCCCGTGTGGGCGCCGCCACAAGGCGCCGGCGGCGGCGAGGGCGGCATGTCCGGCGCGGCGGCCCGGCTGTGCCGGGAGCGGGCGGCCGCGGGCGGGCTGGGCTCGCGCGCCAACGCCGCGCGCTACCGGCGCCAGGACTACGAGGCCCTGCGGCGGCGGTGCCTGCGCGACGGCGAGCTCTTCAAGGACGACGAGTTCCCCGCGTGCCCCTCGGCGCTGGGCTACGCCGAGCTGGGGCCCTGCTCCGCCAACACGCAGGGCATCACGTGGAGGAGGCCCCCGGTAAGAGCCCGTCCGCCACGAGCACCCCCTGTCCCAGCGGCTGCAGCTCCCGCCTGCTCTCCTTGCTTCCTGCTCGGCCTCCCTGTTGCTCCGTGAGGAGCCGCTGCCCTTCTCGCTCTCCCAAGCTTCCAGCCCGGCTCCACRGTGCTCAAGAGCTGCATCCGGAGCGGCTATGTGCAAAACCCCAAGGGTGTCCGGACGCGGCTCCCCGGTGGTCAAACACAGCCCCGTCCTCACACCGTGTCCCTGCCAAGCGAGCGCATCCCGGGAAACCCGGCCTGTGCTTTGAGAAACCCCTCGTATCGCTTCAGGCTGCCTCTAGCAACCAAAGGGCATCTGTCCGGACCCAAATGCATATATCCTATACATTGCCACCCCCTTAAAATAGCTGTTTTCATCAGAAAGGAACAGATGCTGAGGTTCTTCTGTAAAAGACAGGCCTCGTTGTCTCTCTGGTCTTTCATTTCCAAGACCCTGGCTTTTGGCCATGCTTCATTCCCSCTTCGGGAGCCCGGGGCCCTCCGCGCTCTCCTGGTTTCCCCAGGCACCCTGCTTCRTTCTCCCTTGTCCCAGATACAAAGTGCTCCCAGATTTGGCTGACCGCCCCTCGGGAAGCACTGTTTTCCCTTTAGTGATGCCACTTTGTAATCAGAGAAAGGAGGAAATACGCATTTGTAAGAAATATTGGAAATATTTGCTATTTTTTGTACTTCACACTGAAACAACGAACAAGTTTTTTTCATACCYGAAAGGGTGACCTGTATTTTCCAAACGTGCTTTTCAGGAGCTATGCGCCAACCCGCAGTTTATCGTTGGGGGAGCGACTCGCACAGACATCTGCCAAGGAGCCCTGGGTGAGTACACAAGTTCTGAACTTTATTGGGAAAAATCCAAAGCTAAATTCAAAATCCCTCSTGTGCCACATCCTCTCGGCTCCCCTATAGGCAGGCTAAGGGCTTTGAGCCTGGGACGGCAGCCTGTCCTGGCTGCCCCGCTGATCAAACCCAGCTGCACTCCAAGGCAGGAGCCCCGAGACACGGGTGATGAGAGTTTGAGAGATGAAATGCAGAGAAAACAGCCCTTCCTGCTGGCATGCTACTGCCTGCAGCCCTCCTGACATTGCTGTCCTCGTGTCGCAGCTGTCAGTGCTGATCCTGTAAACACAGCACTGCTAAAGCAATCAAAAAACGAAAACAGAAAAACAGTGTATGTGCTTATGCTCCTATTGCCAAAAATATAAGATGCCCAAGCATACACTTGGCTTGAGGATATTTATCCAGTTGATGCTAGAGCAGAGTATGGGGAATCACTTACTGTGTTTTACAATTGTTCTGACAAGTAATAAAAGCAATATATCTTGTCACCTCCAATTTAAGAAGTATTATAACAGCATTGAAAAAATAAAGAATCCTACAGTAAAGCCTCATTTTCCACAAGAGCTTGCAAGCTAAAGGACTGAGGAATACCTGTCTTGGATTGGAAGAGGTTGGTGCTTCACATAGAAACCTAGAAACGAATTGCAAACACCCCGAGCTCCTTTTTATTTCTGTCACCTCTTGAACGTCTCTGAGGACTCCTGTCCTTTGTGGGGCTCAACAGGCTCTCAGTATTGAGCAGCACCCAAATCCATCACTGAGGGTAGGAGCAGGACTGGGTCCAAGCACCTCCCGTGAGCGCCGGACAGTGCCGGCTCCAGGGGCTTCCCGGCTCCGCATCCTGGGTGGGATGAAACCCCCACATGCTGCTCCAAAAAACTACCCCCAAACTCACAGGGAAGGCCCCCAAATTCTGATTCTGCTTTTGTGAAGAGCTGGCTGTTGTCTGCAAGCAAGGAGGGAAAAACATCAGATTCCTGGGAGGGCAAAGAATAAGAGAGCAAAGAGAGCACATTTGTTTCTGCAAGGCTGTTTACAACCTCTTCTGTGCACGTCGGCCCTTTACACAAACAAACTCCAGGATATGGGCAAGGGACTAACCTTTCACTCTTCAGGTATTTGCTCAACATCACTGAGGTGCACTATGCTTTTTGGTATTTGATCCAATACCTCGAGCATCAAAGTACTTGTTATTAAAGCCCTCATGTAAAACACTTCTATTGAACAGACCCTGGTTACATATTTACACAAGCCACGTATGTGACCTATTAGCAAGTCCTTTAGGGAAATAAAAATCTATTTTTAATAGTCTTTTCTGACATGTTTCTTTTCTTTTAAGAATAACACTGCAGGTCTGGGTTTACATGAACAAAAGGAACAAGAAAACCCAGAGTTGGTCTCACTCCATTAAACTTATTTCTTTGACAACAGCACAAGCCAGATGAGTATCAGCTTGGGAAGTTTGATGGGAGCTTGAAAGACCTGAAATATTTTAAACACTCTTTGAACCATATCTTTTTGATAGTCTAGTAACAGCTTGAAACCCAGCCACGTAGTCTTTCTTAGTTATTAAAGGTGACTTATGAAGTTTCCTCACGGCTAGAGCAGTAAGTTAACCCCAGAGTTACTTGCAGGTCTTAAGCAGCAAGTGGCAGGCTTTGAATTTGAAGGAATAGAAAATGTACACCCAAACTTTCCCAGTGTAGTGCAGCTTTCCTGATGCACCCCAGCTGCATGTGAAGCACTTTCCTTGGGATGGACAGAAGGTCCCAGGTGGCCAGGGGGAAGCCGGGGTTGGCTGGAGCGGGGGATCCTCGTGCAGGATGAAGGTCTCACTTTGGGGAGAGCCACAAGAACATCGCGGAGGTTGGAAAGCAACCCTAAGCTGTTAGCAGCTCCGGGACACTCCCCATTAATCTGAGGGTCTCCGTGTGAGCAGAGCGCTGGGATAAAGGTCCCAGTGCCAGCCCGAGCGGCGCAGCTCCCTGCGAGTGGGCAGAGAGTTYGTTTGCAGCATCCAAATAGTCAGAGTAATTCTTAAAACATATRTATGCACAGTGTGGCTCATGTTTCCATCACAAACCCAAGGTCAGAATTTTTCATTCCAATTAAAAAATAGTAATAATTAAAAAAAGGGATCTTACGAGCACTATATTCTATTATATTATCTTGGACYTTGGGTCCAAGAATCAAGCTGGCTCCTTGTTAGCACATTCAGCAGCAAATGTTGTGATTGGCRCTGATCTCCAACTTCTGTTGATGAAACATGAGACACAGTAGAACGCAGCTTATGTGCATAGGTGATATAGCTTATCAGGGCTAATGCTGGGAAGACTTCTCCCAGCATTATGACTTAATGCTTAAATGACTTTTAATGACTTAAATATTTATTTTGAATATATTTCCAACACATTTATAGAAAAAACAAAATGGCAGCAACAAAAAGCACTTCTGTGTGCTTAAGTTCTTTAAGTTTTAAAAATAAAGTCATTTTCCCCTGCTCCAAAAATTCTACATGCAATTTTTAGGAAGGAAATCTAACAGTTTCTTCCCATAAGGAAAAGTAGCTTGCAACTTGCAGCTGTATTATGGCAAGTTTTAGTGGTCCTACATAGGCTGCCTTACCAGGGAYAGGGAGCACACGCTGCTGCCCCATAGACCCACACAAACATGCAAAACTCTGAAAGCTGCTTTGAAGGAAATGGATGTGCACTGTCAGCTTGCCCTTTTTCTTTTTCTTTTTCTTTTTTTTTTTTTTATTTTAAACTAGCTGTTTATTACTCTAGTAGGGTGAAGAAAAGCCCTCCTTATAGCCTAACATCCCAGTGCAGGGTACAAGGCAAGAGGCAGGCAGTGTAACTCGGACCTCGTCCTGAAAGCTCCTTGGATAAATTCCTGCATCCTCATTAATGCACAACAGCCACTTCCTAACTCGTTCATTTCTGAAGACCTGGTTAATACTTGTTCAGCCAAAAGCTCAAAGATACCACACTTCCAAGCAAGGATTAAGAGATGAGACTTTGCAGTGCTCAAGGAAGACACAACAGTTTCTAAGGCAAAATTCAGCATTGCRGTTCTTTCAAAAGAGTTCTTTCCAGGAATGCTCCAAGCAGACTTGCCCTGGATGCGTCCACAGAAGGTTAAGTTGCATTGGATGTTTGTGGGAGGCAGAAGCGTCCGCAGCAATGTTGTTGTTCACCCAGATCTTGTTAAATGAGCTTGTTAAAAAGCTCACTGATGCTGTAGACACTTGCAAAGGATTTCACACTGCATTTGGCATCCTATGGGGATGAGAGTCAGAAATGCTTTTATTTCGAGTCAGGGAAATGAATAATATATTTAAGGTGCAGCTGTGCAGCAAATACACCTTTCCTTTCACTGGCTGTAAATGCTGGTCCTGAGCTGAGGAGGGGGAGCCCTTCAGATGCGTCACCTTGTGCAGGTCTTTGTCACTCCCGTAGACATCCTCCAGCCTCCCCAGGGCACAGAGGGACACAGCCAGGACACCAGGAGCCCTGCTCTGGCATCGGCTTGAAACAGCCTTCTGTGTCTCCTGGCAGGCCAGGAAAAGCCAGGATGGCCAGAAAGCAGGAGATAGCTGCAGAAATAGGGGTTTCATTTCTGACTTTGTGAGATTCTTCATCTGCCTCCTCCGGAGAGCTCCTCCCCAGACCTAGCCCCACTGTTTCTGCCTCTCCAGGAGGGAACAGCAGTGCTAATGATGCAGGGCACGTGTACACACTGAGGAAAGCTGCGGAGAAAGGCCCACAAAGCAGGTCTCAGGACTCTCAGTATTGCATTTTCCTGCAGGTACMTTTTGTTGGGAGAGGAGGTGCTTAAAACATTTTGACCCCCACGTACTCTCCCCATTTTGCTTATTTTACACAGCCCTCTGCCTGTGAGTGTGAGCACTTTGTAACTTAATTAAGATGAAGGTGAGCTTGAGAAGGTTTTTCTATTTGTTCCAGAGGCTTAGGCCTCTGGTCCCTCTTCTATAGATAGGTGCACAGCAGCAACTTTCTCTATTTCCAGTTGGAACTTTTAATGAGCCATTTATCTCAATTTATTTCCTCCTCAGCTCTCACATAAGAGCCCTCCGCTCAAGCAGCTTCTCTCCCAAGCAGCATTTGACCCACCTCACACTTTCTCTTCAAGCTTCATGTGTATAGGACGAGATGAGCGTTTCTAATCTCATCTCAGAAGAAACACAAATGGTGAGAGAAGCAGATAACCCAGCCGTTTTCCACCCCCTTCTAGTGCGAGTTCCCAAACGYAGCCACCGCAGAGGGGCAGAGCGATCTCGTGGGATCCTTGGCAGCCCTGGGAGCCTTGGCAGTGCTTCCCAAGGCAGTGCCCTGCATTCCTTCCCCATTGGCATCGCTTGGCTGAGCAGGTCTCACTCCCACATCAGGTCACGCTGTCCCAGCCACATCCCGACAGCCACCTCGAGTGATTTGCACGCATGGGACTGTCTCCTCAGGTGCTCTTCCAAGGCTAGGAGCCCCAACACACAAGAGTTACAGACCATCAAGCTCAGGGCTCTACTTTCCAGGTCTTCCTTAGATCTCTTCCAACTGGGAACAGCTGTTTCTGGTTCAGCTCTTACAAGGCATCTGAGTATCTCCCAACAGGAGAGGTACCCAGAGGAGAAAGCACATAGCACTGGGTAAGATCCCTGGGAATATAAACGAATCCCTAGCACTACAAATTGTATTCACTGGAGCATTGCAACTGTAAGCCTAAATTAATATAAAGCGATAAGTCTTGCTCTGAGATACTGAGCTGTGCTACAGCTTGAACTGTTTCATTGCTTTCTCCGTTAGCTTATTTCCACCCAGGGAAGAGTTGCTTTGCTGAGTCACTCTGCAGAACGTGGCACCTGCACAGAGAAGCTAAACCTGGGCACAGAACCAAGAAAGTGTTAGGACCTTCAGAGTGGTTCTGTTTTCCTGGACTTTCTGCACACCTAAGAAAGCATCACAGAACCATGGAAGCACAGAAGCAGCTCCTTCCTAGTGCTTGCAGCATGCAAATATTGAGATACTGTAAAAAGCCAGGAATTATTGAGTTTCACTGGGCACTAACTTAGGGTGCAAAAGGACCATGTACTCAGTGTCACCAGACAGGGAGCTCAGCCTCTAGCTAGAGCCATGCATGCCCATACTTTCCAGAATAACCTGCAGACCAGAGAAGAGACTCATCTGCTTTCAGACTTCCCAGTGGACCTCAGCTTCCACCAGGCTCCGAGGGAAATCCGTAGTATTAGCTGCAAGCACTGACCCAAACTCAGACCTTCAAAGAATGCACTACCCACCCAAATCTTCCTGCTATCATCCAAACCCTCTTCAGAAGCTAGAAATAAAAATTCCCTCACCTTGCTGGAAACTCAGGTCTCTTGTCCTTTGCTGAACATCCCCCAAACGCCAACCTCTCCTGGTTGTGGCAGCTCAGGGCTGGTTAAGAAACCACAAGTCATTAGCTCAGTACTGTCCAACCAGGGTTTGCAACCCAAGGCACCTCAAATCCCCYCTCTCTGGCTATGCTCTTTCTTTTTCCCTGGAGGCATTACAAAGTATGCAAAGATCCTGCTTGCACAGCATATAGGAGAGGATCCTGCTTTCACAGCTTCGTTGAGAAAAGAAAACAAAACAGTAAAGCTTTGGAAGGAGTACCAAATTAAACTATAAAGTGTATTGCCATTCCCAGCTCTAGAGACTCCCGAGTATCCGTGAGCTCTGAGTGGTTGGAAATGAGCAAAAGAGACAACACAAGAACATTGAAGTGCCAGACCAATACTGCATTGGCAGGACCTTGCAGAGCACTTAGCATTGGCATTTTAATCTAGGGTGTAAGATAACCATCAGCTTGGCAAAACCCCATTAACGAACCTTTCTGTTTTGGACCTTGTGTGTTTCAGGTGACTGCTGGCTGCTCGCTGCCATTGCGTCTCTCACGCTGAGCCCAGATGTTCTGTACCGCGTCGTTCCCCAGGCACAGAGCTTCCAGAAGGACTACGCTGGCATCTTTCATTTCCAGGTACCTGTATGGTCAGCAGGTTGTGAATAGAAGAGAATACCCCCATGTTTAGCTGAAAGCAGCTTTTTGGTCTTTAGCCCCTCTGTGTCTCACAAGGATAGGAAGGAGATCTATCTCGCTATCTGTCACTATCTGTCTCACAAGGATAGGAAGGAGATGGTATTGAGCCATTATCCACACGCCAGCCCTGATCAGGGACTTCTCTCTGCTTTCCACCAGTTCTGGCAGTACGGGGAGTGGGTGGACGTTGTGGTGGACGACCGGCTGCCCACCAGGAACGGCGAGCTGCTCTTCGTGCACTCGGAGGAGGGCAGCGAGTTCTGGAGCGCCCTGCTGGAGAAGGCCTATGCCAAGTAAGCGGCTTCCTGAGGGGCAGCGCTSCTGTTGGGAGACACCTGAGTGCTCGAGCAGCTGCAACGTGAGGCACGATGCACTTCACCCAAACACAGACTGTCTTCCACCCATCCTTAGCTTATCCTGGGCCCGTAACGGGCACTACCAACCTTCCCTTCCAAGCTTCTTTACTTCTAGTGCCCCAAGTCATGCTGAACAGAAGGCCCAAGAGATACTGAACTGCAAACCCTTCTTCCTGCGGTACAAACTAGCCTTTATATAGGTATAAAGGAGATTACCCTTTATATTGCTCTGCTGTCTCTTCCACAGGTTGAACGGCTCTTACGAAGCCCTCGCGGGAGGTTCTACCATGGAAGCGTTTGAGGATTTCACAGGAGGCATCGCCGAGTCCTACGAGCTGAGGAAGGCTCCTCCAAACCTGTACCAAATCATCCAGAAGGCTCTGCGAGCCGGGTCACTGCTGGGCTGCTCCATCGATGTAAGAGCTGCCRCTCTTCTATTCGCACTCCTCAGAGCCCTGGTCCATATTGTAATGAAAGCTCAAATTAGCATTAGGCATTGCTTGTAAGGTCTGAACTAAGAGCGAACTGCAATCAGTGAGAGGCTTTTATTGATTTTGTGAAAAAACATTTGGACTGGGTTGATAACTTACCCTTGTTGTACCTGAACAGAGTCCATGATAGCACTTAAAGCCATGAAGTGGGGACTGGTCTTCCTCAGCTCTGTTCCTGCAGACACTGCCAGGGGCAAATGCTCTGAGATACTTCCTGGTAGCCTGTAGATTGATTCTAGCTTTACTTTTTAATCCTAAAATTTAAATACACCTGTAATGCAAAGTCTCTCGAGTTACAGAATATATTTGTACATGCTTTGAGAACTCCACACCTTCCACATCCTGTTCCATAATCCCTTTTCAAATCCTGGTTCATGGCATGGAGGGTTAGCACAGTTCATGCTTGGACATACTGAATGCAAACCAAAGTGCAAACCAAGGCAGGCTGTAGCTGAGTTCAAATGGACATGTCTTTGCAGATGACTGGGTCTGTAACCTGCAATGAGGGTCTGGGTTTAGATATAGATTTCATAGCACTTTCTTGAATCTTGGCTGTGCTTGGGGTTGCATGTATGGGGGTATAAAACTTCATGGGTGAATTTTTCACTTCTTTTTAATATTCTTGGCATCAGGAATACTGATACTCACTGTGGATACCACTTGGAGTATCTTCACCTGTACTAACTGGTACCTGCAAGCTGTTTGCTTATGTACATTGCACAGCAATAAATGTGCATACTTTTATTGCCTCAGATATCTAGTGCAGCTGAGATAGAAGCCATCACGAGCCTGAAGCTGGTGAAGGGACATGCTTACTCCGTCACTGGAGCAGAAGAGGTAAGCYAGGCTCTGCCAGCCTGTTCATATCCAGCTCCTCCAGCCTGGGTTGAAGCTTTTACACTAGTCCTCATACAAACCAGCTTGGCACTGTGGTGTCTTTACCTTCCCAGCGTCTGTGTGGGGCTGATCAAATGAAAATATTGCTCAAGTATGAATGGCCATTAGAGAAGTAAATAAATAAAAGAGACCCTAACTCTTGGCCAGGCTGAAGGCTCAGGACACTTTCGGTAGTGCTGTGGAGTACAGTGTGCAGTCTCTAACCTGTGTTGCACGAAGGGACCATGGCCCTCCCTGTTGTTGAGCTGCAGGGAGGGGAAGGAGGAGCAGGAAAGGGGCAGCTGCTCCCCCACAAAACTGTGGAGCAGGGGAGGCAAGAGCATGAACTTTGCCAGCTGGTATCAATGGGAAAGGTACCCAAGCCTTGTTACTAATCTCCCATCTACAATATTCCTGTCTCTCCGAAACTGGAATAGTTTCAGATGCTCATGCCCAAATAACCTCTTCCCAATCTTGCCATGCTGTGAGGTGCCTCCTGCTTTGCAGGATGTAGATGCTCTGCTATTTTGTAGCTGCCGTTTTCCCTTGCAGGTTGCTCTCATTATATGAAATCGTGAGTGATGCAGCTAACAGCTCACTCAGTGGCACAGGAGAATGTAAAATAAGGCTGGAGGACCTGTAGGTGTCTTAACTTTTACAAGTTATAATGGGCTGCATCACTCAAGTACAAATCACATTTAATGTGCTTGTAAAGCAATGCCACGTGGTGACTGGAAAAATGGAAGTGCTCAGGCTCTGTTTGTTGTGGCTCCTTTAGGTAAATTACCRAGGACGGCCAGAGAAACTAGTCAGGATTAGAAACCCCTGGGGTAAAGTGGAATGGACTGGAGCTTGGAGTGATAAGTAGGTTATTATATACCTACCTACCTATCTACCTACCTACCTTCCCACCTGCCTCTCTCTCTCTTTTTGTTCACTGTATTTCACTATATTTTAAAAATTAAATTCAGAGTATGCAGTTAATCACATCACAGAGTGCATTCAGGAAAGATAGTAAATCACCTCGAATAAAGCTCTATTACTTCATTAGCAAGGCCAAATATCGATCTGTTTTGCCCAGCGGACGTTCTTCCCTGCTGCAGGTGGAGCTTTCCACTGAGAGAAAACAGTCTTAATTTTAATGGTAACACCACCATGCAGGGCATACCCAGGCCATTTTGCAAGGTGACGTTGCCCAGACCTCAGCAGCATGTGCAGAGAGATATCTGGGAGATACGTTATCTGGGATACCTGGGAGATAACAGAGCAGATCAAACCCATTTTGCCTCTTTCACAGCTCTTTGGAGGTTGCTGGCCTCTACATCAGGCCTCCTTCTGATTTCTGCTGGAGAATCTTGAAAAGGTCGATTCTGCTAAAGGTCGAATCAGCTAAAGATCCCCAAATTTGAATATCCGTCTGGAACTGTCTCATCTTAAATTGACTTGGARTCTCATGAGAATGCCAGGGAAAGCATCTCTATTATTTTTTGTTTAGAGTGGCATGGATATATTTTTTTCAGGCAGTGTTTTAAGATCTGTTTCCCGTTCCAATTAACTACATTGCTGATGTGTAATACTCAAAGATAGAAAATATGGGAAAATAATAATAATAAAAAAGGATTATTCTTATCTTGAGTAAAAAAGAGCTGCTTTGCTCATCCCCAGAAATAGCGTGCTCAGGCACACGTACAGTGAGATTTCCCCATCTCAGTGCACCTGCTTCAGCAGGGGACAGCCCTGCAGGAGCAGGTGCAGRGTTTTCCAGCTACATGGGAGCAGATCAAATAGGAATCCAGCCTGTCACACCAGAACGCAGAGAAGCAATTCTGTTTCTGGCAGCCTATTTTCTGATTCCACCTTTTCCCTTGCTCTTGGGTGACACAAGCGGTGGAGCCTGTGTGAATTCCCCAGGGAGAACACCAGGCTTTCCAGCAGGTCTCGCTGTTGAGAAGCTCTGCAGGACCTGCTGCCTGTGTATGGCCTAAGCCAGCCAGTTCTGTGGTATTTTTGCATTCTGGTACTTACCGGGATGATCCAGTTTAAGGCTTATTTGTTGTAAATGCTCCAGTGAAGTGTGATCCCGGCTGGGCACAGTCCGGTCACTGGGTGCACTGCCACTGCAGGGCAGAATGTCAATTTTTTTTGCAGAAATACATATGCGTTTGTCAGTCATAACCCAAGAGAGACCCTAAAACTTTGCTCTTATTGTGAAATTAAATGCTACAACTGAACAAGTTGCTTTTGCCTTTTGTCTGCAGTGCTCCTGAATGGAATTACGTTGATCGCCAGCAAAAGCAGGCTCTGGATAAGCAAGTAGATGATGGGGAGTTTTGGTGAGAATGCTTCAATGTTTTGGATGTTTTGTGTGCACATATGCTCTTTCAGCAGCCCTTTCATTTGGGTGGGGACAATCTCCCAGTACCAAAGGGGTTACAATGTGCCCGTGACGTGTGTGAGTTGTTAGCCTCTTGTTTATCTCCCTCCCCATTCAAATATTACCCTTCATTAGAGCTTGCATAACTTAGTGCTTATCCAAAATATAGAGACCAGATGGCAATAAAACTAATGAGGTGGCAAGAATGAACCTCAGATGCTCCATATTTTGAGGCTTCTTTTTTTTTTTTTCAGTGCCTAAATGCTATGCTGTGTGCTAATGAAAAAGTCTAGATTATCCGCTTGGGAAGAGTCTGTTTACCCAGAGCTAATGGAAAGCCCATCCCCTGTAGCTGATCACACAGATCAATWCTTGAGCCCATGTTAAACTCTGTCCTAGACTGGATTAAAGGATAAGCACCCGCCCTCCTTCAGTGTGAGTGACTGCAGGGCACGTGAGGCAGTGCAGAGCTGAGCAGGCAGCTCGTGCTCACAGCACCCTGCCAGTGCAGATGCACCAGGGCTGGGAAAAACAAACATCAACTATTTATTAGAGCATTTAGAGGAAAAAAAAAMCAGCAAAATGAGGATTTTAATTTATTAATGTATTTATTTCCAGAGCCCTTTTGGGCTGTGGGAAACAGGATTTCCCAAAAGCTGTTTCTGAATTTTGRCGTTCCTTTAGGAGGGCCGTTGGGCAGTGACGTGATGCTCAGATCCACTGCCCTGATCCATTTGCTGTGCCTGTGGYGGGCTCGGGAACTCACCGGGTGTTTTTGTGTGCCAGGATGGCGTTTTCAGATTTCCAACGGCAGTTCACCCGGCTCGAGATCTGCAACCTGACTCCTGACACCCTGGCCAGAGACACAGCCCACAAGTGGGAGCTGACCCTCTTTAATGGAGAGTGGAGACGGGGCTCCACTGCTGGGGGCTGCCAAAACTACCCAGGTAGAGACTCAGCTAAGTGGGCACTGGGTGAAATAGCAAAGAAAATGAACAAATTAACTCCTCCTGCACCAGAAGCAGCCAAGGGGATAATTAATGGAATTAATTAATGGCATCAGCTCCTGCCTGTTTGTTATCACCGCCTGGAAAATATCTGGGTGCTTTGACTTGCTCTGGCTCCACTTGATATGCAGCATAGCTGTGGAAACATCGAGACATGTAACATAATGTAATTAAAAATGGAAGCATATGGGCAAACTCCAGGTTCTTCCAAAGATATATTCTCTGTGATATGAGTGGCAAAGTCTTGGCTTCAACGAGAGCAAAATCTCTTCCTTTTTCTTTTGCCTTGGGGATTTCTAGCAACATACTGGACCAATCCTCAGTTTAAAATCCGTTTGGACGAGCCAGATGATGACCACGACGGGAGCTTGACCGAGCCCTGCTGCACTGTGCTGGTGGGCTTGATGCAGAAGAACCGCAGGAGACAGAGGAAAATGGGGGAAGCTCTGCTCAGTATTGGCTACTCGCTCTATCAGGTATAGCTTGTTCCTCCTTAAAGGTTTTGTTCACTGCCTGTTCCCCTGAAAAGAAATTAATGGTAATATCTTCATATTCACCACTGCCCTTCAAGAACAGGATTTTACAAGATGATTCAAATCTGTCTCTTGGTTGTTTATTCTGATCCACATAATTTGGGAAGCTTGAAACAAATTTAAGTTCATTTTTTGTCGCACATTAGCAAGAGAGAGGTGTAAAACCAAGGGCAATTATTTTGTTGCACTCTTATTGAGAGCCTCCTCTTTCAGTGTGTGAGTGGGGGCAGGCTCAGGGTGCCTGGCAGTTCCAGATAAGCGGTTYTGATTACAGCCTATCGCTAGTGCTCACTAGTTGCTTGCATTTTATTTTTTCTCTGCATTTGAAAATCRCTTTGATTCATTGTCTGCCATGCTATTGTTCTGGTCCAGGAGACAGGAGGGTTTTTTTTCTCTCTCTTTTTTTTTTTTTTTGCTAGTGTTGCTTCTTTATAAATATAATGTAGGGAAAAATTACACAGAGACATCTCTAACTTCTGTGATGTGAGAGGAGAGAATCAAATATGAGAATTTCCAAACATTTTTTTTTTTTGATGCTGACTGCATCATACCTGGAAAAAAAAGCAATTAAATGCTGTGTAGATTCCTCTGGATGGAGATCATTAACCGGCACAGATGGGAGCAGATGGCAACGGCTGACTTTTGTTAATATATCTTGTGTGGGATGGTCCAGAACCAGTGTTTTYCCTAGTGCCAAAGCTTCACAGGGAGGTTTTCCACACACGTTCTTCTGCGTGGTGTCAGGCACTCTGACCCGTTTGCATCCAGGAATTTGCACATGAAAGACGGCCCGCGGCTCCTGTCACTCAGTAGCACTGCAGCCTTTCTGCTTCACGTGTAATTCATCTCCTCTGCCTCCTCTGTGATCTTTCCCTTACTAGTGAGATTTAATGATTCTCAACAAGGCAAATGCTTCCTTCTGAAAGAAGGGGATGCGAAGCCACCCAACATGGACATTCAGCCATGGTCCAAGTTCTTAGGCCCACTCCATGCAGATTTACATCATTGCAGTTCATGCTGTGACGGAGGAGGTCTGGTTAGGACAACACAGACGGTGATCTAAAGCAGACCTCTATATAAGAGAAAGTAAAAGCAGGCTCCTGACTTCTGGCCTTCTAGATATAAAGAACAAGGCCTGAGGTGCCTTCTGGATATAAAGAACAAGGCCAGGGCCATCTGAGGTGGTCCAGAGGTGTTGTACGAGTGACATTTCCAGAAGCTCTTTGGTGACTTGGGAGCACGATCCCTCCTGCTCTCACTGGTATTTGTACTCCCAAGATGACTGTGGTTCAAAAAGCCACCCTTCATTTGGAGGTACCAAATCTAGAGGATTTAGCTAGGACTAAATCTTGAAGTTTATTACTCATTATATTCACCTTAAAACAGTCTGTTCATTCTCATACTGATGGCCAATGACAGGATCCTTATATTTTTATCAGCATTTCCAGTAACAGTAGACATGCAGGGTCTTCTGCATTCAGGTATTTTTTCTGCCCTGAAAAAATTCTGAGGTCAGTTTTGCAACGTGGGGCTAAATGGTCCTTGAGTCTCATACTAAGGCTCATCCAAATATTCCAAACAACAATATCATTCAAGCCATCATATCTGGAGAATGCAGTTTAAGGGTCAGACAACCTCCTCTGGCTGAAGATCCTGGTTTTGTTTTGGAACAACTCTAGCACAAGCTAGAACTTCATGTGGAGCAGTACACTACAAGATGTGGTTGTAAAGGGGAGTTAAAAATAAGTGTCTGAATGAGGCTTTGCCTGATGCTTTTCTCCAGTGCCTGCAGATTGTGTGTGGCAGCTCTTTAACGTCACCTCTTCCTCTTCCTTTCAGGTTCCTCCCGAGGTACGTGACCTCTGCTGAGAACTTCCAGCATCCAGGGGACACCTCCAGTAGTGCTGGAGATTTAAACTGCCAGCAGGACTTGGTCCTTGCTGGTGGCACTTCTTCTGGGGAGCTTTGTTCCTTATCACCACACGAAAGTCACAAGTTCTCAATAACTATTTCCAAGGGATTGGGGCACAGGGTTTTATTACAGAGATCCGAGTGCCAATCTTGATCTCATTTACACTTGTTAAAATTTGATTTTGTATAGTGGAGGTCAGAAATTGCCTGTTTATTAAAGACAAAGGCAGAACATAGTCTATGCACTCTAAAAACGAGAAAATGTAGATATATGTTTTTTTTAAGAAGAAATACTGAACTCTGGGGATCCATTCCTTTTATTGCTCTGAACTTGGGCTGCAGTTAATGAACAAACCCAGCTCAACCTTCCCTAATCCTCAGAGATGTCAATATCAAGGTAAAGAGACTTCTCACTCCTAAAGAAAGAGACCCCAGGGCTGGCTGGCAGTAGAAATCGCCTTTACTCGTTTACTTAAGCCTGGCATTCTGTGCTGCCAATTTTTTCCTGATCTCCTTCTCCCTCAGTAAATGAATGTGTGGTCACGAGCCAATTAATTTTACTCCTTTAACAGCCTTGCAGATGCAAAGGGAAAATGAGCTTTATGCATTGAGAGAGATGTGCGATCTGACGACTTAATCTTTGCAGCCCCACTTAGCTGAAACTTGAGTGGAGAGAAGTGGTGGTGGTGTTGAATAAATCCCAAATCCAATCTTGTCTTCAAAACAAGAAAAAGAAAGAAGATAAACTTTTTTTTTTTCAGTTTATGAGAAACACACTGAATTAGCATAGAATGTTTGATAACACCTTTGTACTCTCTGATCTTAGGCAGGCAGAAGCTTTATCAGTACGTCATGTWCCACAGCCTGTGTCAAACAGACAACTCTTTTTGTGGATCATTGAATTACACTTTCTGAAAGACATCCCTGTGGAGCAAAAGTCAGCAATGTGAGGTTCAAAAGCAGAGGTGTTGTTCTTACAGTACTGCTCCTTGTTACACCAGGGCTTTACAAGCTACACAGTGTATCACTTATTTAATGATATATAGTTATTACGGGAAAGTTGAGTACTATTTACCTTATAATCCAAAGGGCTATATACATATATTTAATATTAATAGAAGTTGGCTAAATCCTCTAATCTGGCCTGAAAAATCCCACCCTTCTGTTTGTTATTCTTTTCTATATGTTTTAAGAAATCAGACAGCATCATTCCTCTGCAATTAGGAGTTCTATCAGAGACCATAAATTGCTCCAAAGAAATGTATTTGTAATTTTTTTTTCATGAACACACTATGAAAGGGAAAAATGCTCACAAATGGGACAACTTGCATAGCAAGTCCTAATTTGACCAAAATTGAATGCACATTACGATATTTTAAATTATTTTTATACCACAGGCTGTGAAGAGGTCTGTGAAGAGATAATCTTTATAGAGCAAGACCTATAGCAAGAACTATAAAAATCAAGTTGAACTTGAAAATGAAATTGAAGTAGGATGTCTGACTTACCTACCCAATTGTCAAACTATTTCTAACAAAAAATATATTATCCACAGCTGGCAAATAACACGGATATTCATCTGAACCGGGATTTTTTTGCAAGGAACCAGCCAGTAGCCCGGTCTGGCACCTACATCAACCTACGTGAAGTGTCCGGCCGCATGAAGCTGCCCCGGGGCGAGTACCTCATCGTGCCCTCCACCTTTGAGCCTTACAAAAACGGGGAGTTCTGCCTTCGAGTCTTTTCTGAGAAACGAGCTAAAACTCAGTAAGTAGCTTCTCTAAAATCTCCTCTTCCACTGGTGAGACACGAAGTAAAATGAAAGGAAAATGAAGGAAGGAAAACTCTTTGCCAGAGACTCATGTCCTGGGCTCTACGCAGTTCCTAACCAGCAATTAATCAGACAGACTCAATTCTATAATCTATTTTATTACACAGTGTGTAATAAAACACCTCCATAACACCCAGTCCTGGCTCATCAGATGGCCTCTGGCAGCAGCAGTGTCCCAACCAGAACCTCCCAGGGCTACAAAGTAGAACTTGCCCCAATTGAAGAGCGTGGGGAAAGAGTTGGCAGTACTTCCTCGCACTGATGGAGAGAGAACTTTAAAATGGAGTGTTTCATCAGCAGTGGCCAGTGAATGAAAAAGCTGTATATTGACAAGAACAATAAGACTGGATTTCCCAAAGAAAATATCTTAAAATGAGGTGGTACAGAAAGGGTTATAGTGACATAGGGAGCATAGAAAACAGAGAAACTAGAGGCTCGTTTTGTGCATTTGGCAAGGTTTTGTACTGTTGTGTTCTTAATTATGTTATAAGCCAATGGTAGTCACTATTTGCCATTGTGTTTTATTTGTTTTTCTTAGGGTGATTGGTGATGTGGTGGCTGCAAACCCATACGAGGTAACTTATCTGTGCTGACTGTATTTTTCTAATACACCTTTCTTTCAAAATGTGGTGCAAATGATGTAAGATTTTCACTGTTCTCTTGAGCACTGTGCTACTTCATGCCAATGTATGTTTGGGTTCAGGAAAAAAAGAAACAAAACCCCCTCTTTTGGCTGCAGAGGTTGTTTACACATCTCCCTGGCTTAGTTTTAGTGTATTTTCATGTAAGTGCTCAGGAGTCGCAAAAGCTGCACCCTGCTAGGCTGAGTAGGAACACATTAAACTGTACCTTTGTGTAAAATAGGTAGGAAAGGGGGTGACGGGACAGTTTGGTGTTACTCACACATACAAACAATCTTCCTGGAGAGAAATCACAAAAGGTGATTCCTTCCCAGGAACCAGAGAACTAAGGTTCCCTGTCTTACCACTATCCAACTGCAGCAACATTTGCTCTGTAGTTATAAGACTATTTGATAATGTAAGAAAACTTTCCATCCTGAGAACCAGTTAGGTACAAATGAAGACACCTCCCTGTCAGGTCTTGATTTAAGGAGCACTTCTGTGTTGCCATTGCTGCAGTGCAAGTGGATATTCTCCATGGCTGTAAATAGTCCCCTGTAAAGTTGCTTTATGGCACCCATATCTCTTTGCTAGTACCATGTCATAAATCACGTTCTTGATCACCTCTTTCCTCCAGCCTCATGTCAATGACAAAGATATAGACGACGAGTTCAAGACTCTGTTTCACAAGCTTTCAGGAGAGGTGAGTGAATTAAAATGATAGAAAAAGCTGTGAAAGAGCTTTATGATGATACCAATACTATATAAATATATAAGAGCTGTTATAATGATGCAAATATTTGCCCTACCAACCCTTTTTTACTATCTGATCTTCTGACTGTGAAATATAAATTACCTGTGGAGTTAGTGCTTAATTCTGACAATTGGCTATTTGGGCAATTCCTTCCTTTGTGGAATTAGAAAACTGTTGGGTAAAATTTCTCTTTATTTGTTGTATCTGACAGAGGTTGGTATCTCTCAGAGCCTGCAGCTCTCATATGACGTTTGCTCCTCACAAACAGGTGGCCACAGGCACTGAAGAAAGAAAACAGCTTTATAGTTAGAAAGACTTCTCTATCTCATGAGAGAATTTCCATACTGTTTGTTTGTAGTTTCTGTAAGCCTGGAAGAGCTTGAATGTGATCCTTTAGCTGTGAAAAAAACGGAGACACTGAATGAATCCAGGCAATCCTGGTAGTAAAGTTAACATTTGCTGGATCACTTCACCAGGGCAGCTAACAGACAGCTTATTTCCTTCTCAAAAGGCTAGGAAGTACTCAAGATTTCTGAGGATCTCGTCCATGGGATATCTGCTGGAAAATGAGAAGTGTTAGAGAAAAAAATAAGGATTTAGAAGAGGGCTGGAGGTGAAATAGTCTCTAGAGGTCTGACAGACGGACACAATTTGCTTCAACCACTTGTCCCATTAATGTGCTGTGTTTTCTGCCCAGGACTGCGAGGTGACTGCGAATGAGCTTCAAACCATCCTGAACCGGGTCTTGGCAAAGCGTGAGTCGCGCCGCGCTGCCGGCTGGGCCGGGCTGGACCCCTTATGTGGAGGGAAAGAAACCCCCAGGCACCTTCCCTGCCAAATCCAGCCCCTTCACCAGGAAAAAAAGGGGGCCTATTGCACTGCTGCAAGATTTCTGTGGGCAGATAGAAACTTGCCACCCCTAAATTGTGAGCAACCCTGGCCCTGCACTYAAAAAGCCCCTTTAGTGTCCTCTTGTTAATAAACCAAGAGACGCAGCCTGGAGGAAGCAGTGCAGGAAGCTRGAGAGCATTTACCAGGCTAGTGAGATGTGGCCGTGGTGGCACCTCTGGGGCAGTGTGCAGAGGAACACTGGTCTAGAAGCACTTCTGACTGGGATTTTTTGCTTCCTTTGTGTGCAGGAAGGGACGTTAAAAGCGATGGATTCAACATTAACACTTGCAGGGAGATGATCAGCCTTTTAGACGTATCCTTTAAATGTCAGCTTGTCACTGTGGCAGTTTCTGAACTGGATGCCTTTCTGATAAGATAAGGCTGGCTTTGCGTTTTCATGGCCTCAATGCACACCTCTTTGTTGCCTGAAGGTGTAAAATCGAGCCGGGCGAGCTCCATCAGCTCAGGGATCCATCAGCGTCCTTGGCAAAGCCTGGTTTTAAGCACAGCTTCAGCTCCCACCTCTCAAACAGGTTTCTCCTCACACAGTGCAGGGCTCAAAGGGGCAGAGAGGGGCCAGTTCCCTGAAGGACTTCAGTGCCYTCCTTACTGTAGAAAGCGTGAGCAGATCTAATCAGACTGGGSTATTTAGCCATCCCATAAATCATTCCTTGAGAGCGCAGATAGTCCCGAGCTTTTTGGCAGGCCTTTCCATGAGAAATTTATAAAAATATGGCCTGTCTGCGGGAGATGGAGATACATTACCAAGGAGAGCTAATATGACATAAAGATTACACTGCGATGAGTGATTTGTTGTTGCTGGAACTAGCAGCCCTCTGGGTTTGATAAGGAGAGCGGGCTCCTGATTTTCGAGCCCTGACTTAACAATGCCAGACGAACGGGACGGGCTCCTTGGGACTCGTGGAATTCAAGACACTTTGGATGAAGATTCAGAAGTATTTGGTAATGCAGGATTTCTGACTGTCTCCCCTTCCCTCTCAGCTCTGAAACTCACACGGGAGCCTCCCTTCTCGCAGCTGGAGGTTGAGCCAGGGCTCAGCAAAGCCTTGCATTTGAAAGGACAGAAGCAGAGCCTCTTTSACCTCCATACTCCACTGTTTCACCACTATGCTCTGTAATTTGCAATCGCTTCTGAGCAATAGGGTCCCTGGGACATGCTCTGGTACTAAAGTTTGCTAGTTGGCTGCTGAAGGAAGCACAAGAACCATATATTTTTAGGATCTACCAAAGGTTTGGCCTTGTGTTTGTAAAATCTTGTATAAATGCTACAATTATTTCTCTGTTGAAGGATTTAATATCCCAAGAAGTCCACCCAGAACTGAGCAGTCTAAAGGGAGTCTTATGTCAGCAGAGCAAGCCTGAATGCTGACTCCAGCCTGAGCACTAGGCCTACATATATTCCAGTGCTGGTTAATGAACCTGCTTACAGTAGAAAACATCTGTCATCATGTCTGACAYATTAAGCAAAAATGGACTTTGTCTGTAGTGTCATTTGCAAACGAGAGGGCGTTTTCCTCGGTGCTCTGTCTGCCACCACGTACCGTGGAGGCCAGCGGGCTGCCAGCCCTGGGAAGACACTTCCCTGCCCGCCTTGCTTGCCAGCAGCTGCTTGAAATGTTTCCCTTCTTATTAACATTTCAAAGGGTAGAAGCTTCAGCTGAGAGGGGCAGAATCTAGCCCAGCTCATYGGAAAGCAGGGCCTGTGTCTATAAAAAGCAGTGGTTTAGGGGCAGGCATGATCCATCCAGACTGGGTCCAGCTATAGGAGCAGGGGCTATGGCAGGGCATGGGTGACAGGGTGGACMAGCAGAGCAAGGCTAGACCATGAGGGCCCTGATTTTTCCCTGTGGTTACTGGTCCATGTTATCATGTCTCAGGGCTGTGGTTGCCCAAGGCTGCCCGCCTGGGTTCGCATGACCCATGCTCGCCTTTGAAAGCAGCCCCCGTGCTCTCTCGCCCCTCTGCCACAGGCCATCTACAAGAAGGTGGACAGTGACTACTCGGGGACCATGGACTCCCACGAGATGCGCAAGGCCCTCGTCGAGGCAGGTGGGTACGCGTCTTGGGGAGACTTTCTGGTCATTGAGGGCCCCCACTGAAAATGAGCCCCGGGAGGCCAGAGGAGCTCGCYGACTGCTCTGTGTCTTTCTCCTGGGTCACAGGGTTGCCAGTATCACTCTGCCTTCCTGACATGCCGCCACCTCCTTTGGCTGTTAAATGTATCGAACCCCATCCTCGCCTCTGCAGCCACTAAGATTTTTTATCCCTACTGGGACCTTTGCTTGTCCATCTGATTAAAACTTGCTGTGGTTTGAGCCTCATTATCTCCTAATCCTCCCTCGATGCTATGCCCAAAGCCTCCTCTCCCTTCATTTCCTTCCGTCACCTTCCTCCGCACTAGAGATGGTGTTGGGCAGGACACGTCCTAGCTGTGTCCTCTCTCAGCTGTGCTGCTCACTTTTGCAGCAGTGCTTGCCAGCTCAGGAGTATCTAGAAAAGCACTGCTTTTTTTTTTTGTGCCCAGTGGAGTCCTAAGTGAACAATCCAGGGGCACAAATAGCACCAAGATGGGCCTGAATAAARCCCAGCCTGCTCTGCCACCATCGTTGCTATCCAGCTGGGTGCCACAGACTCACTAATTCAGGGTCTATTTGGGCAACAGAAGGATGGTGATGCTCTGAACCAGCGCTGAACATGCAGCTTGACAGAACGCTRTGGCAGAGCTTCCCACCAGCCTTCCCACGGGCTTTGAAGGGCCCCTGCGGACCCTCTGGGGTGAACGGACACCATCCTTCATCCAGGTCTGCCTGCAGCTGCAGGAGTCCACAGATGAGTCACATCAAAGGCAGCATATTGCCCTGCTGTGGCAGTGATTTATGTGCTTCCCTTGCCTCCAGGTTTCACTGTCAGCGACCGAGTGCAGCAGAGCATCGCCCTGCGCTACGCCTGCAGCAAGCTCACCATTGATTTCGATGGCTTTGTGGCCTGCATGATCCGCCTGGAGACCCTGTTCAGTACGTGCCTGCCTCCACCACCAAGGAGGACTCCCAATAACTTTGTCTTTTTATTAAGTATTTGATGTCTTAAACTCTGCCTGTAGCAAAGAGCATGGCAATGTGAGGGAGCCAGCAAAAATGTACCTTTTTCAAGAAGCAGCAGGAAAACGGCAAGTGCCAGTCTATCTGCATGGCCATGGAGCTGGGGGTGGTGTGTTTTCATAATCTACCAGGTTTATGTTCAGTGTGCTGGTCCCTGGTTGTCCCATCTCCTCTAGATGGTACCATTTATCATCTACAGTGTTGACTTGGACCTGATTCACATGYGCCCCGCAGATCATGTCAGATAGGAGCGTGTTAGATTTTGTAGTTGTCCTCCTGCCAGCTCCCAGTTTGCTGCTGTAGATCTAACTATTCAGCCCTGTCAGTGGCTTAGAAAGTACATGCGAGAGGAAAGGAGAACAGCTGTAATGTTCTCAGTAGGTTTGCGGTAGGTTATGGCAAAAGGCCAGACTTCTACCTTTTGTCAGACAATGATTCTTTACATGCCAAATCCTGTGGTTTACATCCTTTTTCCCCTCTTTTGCTTCACAGAAGTGTTCCAGCTCCTAGACAAAGACAAGAGTGGAGTCATCCAGCTCTCTTTGCCTGAGGTGAGACCAGTCAAATTAAGAGACCACGTGGTTAAGCTGTAACAAAAGACACCACTAAAATCCATTTATTTTAAAATAACTATTGTGATCATTAAATACTGAATCAAAGGGAAAATTTACTTATGCAAAAAGCTCATCTGCTCACAAGACTTGTCCAAATTAGTAGACCAAACACTTGCTTTATATGGGCAAAAAGAGTAAAGCTATGCTCAAAGAATCTGAAATTGTTGAAGGAAAYGATTTCACAAAGTGTTTTGCTGTCTACTTTCAGAGGGCAGTGGTCATGACATTAGAAAACAGACAGTAGAAAACTGTGGAACTGTTCCTGTCTCAAGATACCTTTTAAGATGTCAGCTCTTTTTTTTTTTTTTTTTTTTTTAAATTGTTCTTAATGCAAATTTCTCCTGCTGAAGCTGTAATAAATGCAATCAGCTTCAATCTTCCCTTTGCAGAATACTCCACAGGAAACAGAGCTGGAAGAGGCCCCAAGAGATCCATCTAATTAGCCCTCTAAGCTAAAGCCTGGTTCTAAAGAGCGGAGGATGGCTAGGAAGCCCTATGGCCTTCAGTCAGAGTTATTTGAATCCAATTACATTTGTGTACTTTGCATAATCCGGCCCTAGAATTTTAAAAGAACATGCAACTTGCCCTGGAGAGCTTTGCCCTTCCTTGGGAGAAATTCCATGTGTGATGTCTGAACCGCGCMCCCCCAGCAATGAATTTCCCCATAATTTCGGTGTGGATAGATAAGAATAAGCATATGGACACAAAGCGTAAAAATAAAGTTTCAGTCTTTCACAGCCTTTCCTCTCAGAGCCCATTATAGAAAGCCACGATAGTGTCTCCATGCCATGGACCTTCCAGATGATCTGAATGCTTGTTCTCTTTCTCCCATAGTGGCTGTGCTGCACACTGGTTTGAACCACTGTAGATGAATTCAGCAGAGACCTCTGCAGCTCCTACAACCATGGAATGACTTCTCTGGCTTCTCCCTGACACAGAGCACAGAGAGAAATCTTTTTTAATTACTGGCAAGTTATTTCATAAAATGAAAAGAAAATGATCTCTTGGCGATTAGAAGATGCATAGAACCTTGAATGAAAAAAAATGCAGAAATAAAACCAGCAAACCCAAATCTAGCTTCTATTTTGCTATTCTGGCTACCTCCCTTCCTCACCAGCTTGGGCTCTGCCAGGTGTAGGCAGAAGCTGGGGTGAAGGAGCCCTGAGCGATGCAGGAATCAGGCACGGACATGGCCCCAAGGCTGGACAGGGAGGCAGGCAACCAGGCAGGCACCTGCCCGTCAGGCTTGGCTCTCTCTTCCAGGCAGGGGAACGGGGATGGGAGGCCGTGGCCATAGTCCTGCTCCTCTTTCAGCTGAGATGTTCTCCCTTGAATACCTGTCATGTGCATTTTTGAATGCCCAAAGACGGGATCAGATCTGGACTTTGAGGAGATAAGGGATTGAAGTTCCCGAAGACCRCAAAGGGCAGGAATATAAAGTGCACTTGCAGAAGTCTCGGAATTTGTGTGTGATGGATGTGCTAAGGTGGACTGTGATTTAAGAAAAACCAAAGCCAATAATCACCGGCTAACAGTACTGTCCTTCTCTAATATCTTGTAAAGCCTTTGTCCTTTAAAAACCTCTCTTTGCTTTTAATTATATAGTATTATAAAGAATAACTATATTCATCTCAGGCTACATAATCTAGCAGCCTCTTTAGTGTTTAGGAAACCTTTCTGTATCTTGCAGCACTGTCATGACGTGGGGAGGTGACATCTCTGACATTTCTACGTGGGAGCCAAAGGAGCGCAGACAAAGCGCTGTACCCTTGAAGAGTGGGGCCACGGCTCTACCTCCCTGTCTGCTCAGAGCTATGTTCAAGAGAAGCCTTTCTTCCTCCCTGTCTTTTTTCCTAAGCAGGCAGGAAAATGCTGCCTCGTCTCTGAGTACAGAATGCCCATGACAGTCTCCAAGTTTGTTTGGCATCTCCTAGCATTTCTTATTGATGCTGGATAGAGCTGTCTGAGTAAAAGGGATCTGTGTCCTGTTTCAGTGCTTTACACTGCCTTTCTAATGGATGGTAATCACTACATCATTTAGAAATCCTCTTCCAGTAAAAGAGAAATAAATATCCTTTGGTTCAGGTTGCAGGGTAAAAGCAACTGGTGAGAGGAACTGCAAGCTCTCCCTTGCCATCTCTGTGCGGGCATCAGGTATGTGGTGTCTTATGTTACCAYCTGTATCTCACAGTAGATATTAGCCTGCCAACCAACAACAGAGATCTTCACACCTCCACAGGTGTGGAAGAGAGCATTACTTGGGAAAAGTTTGGGTCTCAGGAAATGTTGTGCTTTTCTAGCTCTGCCTGTTCAGTAAGAGGAACGTGTCCTTCTCTGACCTGGATCTTGAGTATGCACCACATCTCCTTGCTAACCATGCGGCGAGGGGAGCTGAGTGCCTGCAGCTTTGGATTTGCTTTCTGCTCACGTGCTCATCAGTTGATTCCAATTATGGTCACAGAGAGGCCTCTCTTAACAGGATTGGGAAGAAACAAATATACACAGGAATCCATTGCATGTCCCAGCTCCTGGTCCCCTTGCATTAAGTGAGATACTCCCATTACAACGTGCTTCATAGCTATCTCGATGACTCTCAACCTACTGTTCAGGCTGGGCAGAGCTGCATTCYTTCTTGCTTTATCTTTGGGAAGCAGGCAGCTCCAGAGAAGCTGCTTCCTCTCATGCTTGTTCCTCGAGCACAGCACTTGGCTCTCAGGTCTCCAGGAACTGCTGAAGAATGAGCCTTTTCATGGGACTGAATGCATGCCTTCTTTTCGCGCAATGCATCTGCAAAAAGACAATTAGGGTCTCCTTATTCTCCTTCCTTATGCTACAGGCTGAAACAAATGTCCATGCCCATCAGTTTTCTGGTTAGCCCAGCGGGCTGTTGACTTAGATGTTTGCAGCAGCTCCTACAACAGCAGCGTGGCATGGTGAGCCAGGCGAGCACTTGGTGTCMGGGCTCCCTGTGCCCTCATACTGCTTCATCATGCTTTGTTTTTAGAGCTGCCAAGTGCTGCTTGCTCCTCTTGGAGAAGCTGAGTCATGGGGAACCACAATGCAGGCAAGGCACAAGGGCTCATGAATTTCTGATGTGTTCATCATTACTGAAAAAACCTGGCCACGTGGCACTTCCACCACTTTGCAAGTAAGGTGGGGCCAAAGAGGCCTCCTTGGAAGCTCTGTGCAGGTTCTTGAAGCCTTCTCCTTCTCTTCTTTCCCTCACCGGAGAAATRCTTGTGTTTGCACTGCAGTCAGGTTCGCTGAAGATCTCAAATCTGCATGTTGCTTCTATAAAATGTGATTTGTATTAGTCCAGATTCAAACTTCCAGCCTTCTGGTGGCCTAATTGCCTTGCAGCTCCTTGTACAGGAACCTCCCGGGGGTATAAATCCTACCACATCAGCATCTGCCACAGCTTCGCACCAGGGGGAACGTCTGCATGGGGTACAAGACAATCGCTGTGATTTGGGATTCTGCCTAAGAGCTCAGAGTATAAAAAGAGTCAAACCTGGTACGTGCAATTATGTGTCAGCTGCTCATCCTCCCAGAACGGGGGATTTACATGGGGGCCTTGTCTTCCTCATCCCCGCAGGGTAATGAGCACATTCYTGGTAAGCATAGAAGGAACAGTCATTTACAAACTTCATTTCATCCTTTTCATCCACCTGGTCCTGCTGAACCTGATTCGACTCTGGATCTTGGGTCTTTTCCATATGTATTCGACAACCTGACCCGCCTAGAACTGCCGAGATATGTGAGCACATTTTTCCTTTCTGTCCTCTTTGGGATGCATCCAGATTCCCAGTCTGCTGTTGTTATCCCAGGCTAAACTTACCAACCAACTGGAGATTCAAATAAAGTTTGGAAAGCCAGTGAGATTCTGGGAAGGAAACAAACCTGAATTCCAAAGGTTGTGACGTTTCTCCTCCACTAATGATGTCCCTGGTGATATTTAATCTTAAAGTAGTGCCCTGCTGCTGCCTGACAGGCTTGTTGCCATGGTGCCTGTCTCTCTCCCTGCATAACTGGCACGCACAGCATAAAATCCTCTTTCTTTAATATGGCAAATTACTTCAGTTTGCTATTGGTCGCTCAGTAGCTCCTTCCTCAGCCTTTGGGTTTTTTTGATGCATCTCTCGCCCAAAAGGTTGCCCTCATCAGAGCCAAGTCACCTGCCTGCATGAGCAGAAGGTCCCTGCTGGCCCTGGCGCTTGGGGCTGGGATATCTGCAAGAGACAGATTGTGAAGCCAAAAATAATCTGTGGGATCAGCTCTGGGTGACGGACTAAAGGGACACCTGAGCAAAGGCCGGGATAGCAGCCAGGAGGAAGCTGAGTGAATCAGCAGTGTGGGAGCTGAACGGCCTCAGGAGCTGGAGAAAACTGTTTCTTCTTGCTGCTTGCTGGGAAGAAGGTACCTGCACTTCCTTCATAATGCACGGGGCTGACTCAGAAACAAACGGCATTCCCACAGCTCTTTCTTATTTGGAAAACTCCGTGAAAAGGCTGGTTTTTGTTTGTCTGTCCATTCACTTCTATATGAATAACGAACCATTGAACCACGTTGTTAGCTCAGGGGCTGATTCAGGTATTTTCTCTAACTCAGTACCCTATTTGTACATTAAAAAGACCAAAAAAAAAAAAAAAAAAAAAAGAAAACAAAACCTCGGTGATGCTTTAAGTTCAATCTCGTTGGCATGTATCTCTATACAGTCCTCAAGCAATTTGACAATCTGAGTTTCCATGGGCTAGTTTAAATGTATTAGCTTGACCTAGCTCACTAGAGGGCAGCAGGAGCTCTTCCTTCGCTGGGGATTTATCCTCAGGGTGTCATTTTGGTGTCCAGGTTGTGCCCCAGGGCTCCTTGTGCGCTGGGGATGCTGCACTGGGAAAACCTTGCTAGGGAAATGGTAACTGTAACAGGAGGCTTGGAAAATGCGTTCCTTTTTTTGGAAAGAATCAGCATAGAATTAATTAAACAGAAGAAAGGAGATTAAAAGAAAATGAGAAAATGATAAAGTACCAGTCTGACCCCTAATTTGTAAAACACCTCAGTCAAAATCCTATGAGAAGGAGCTATCTGAAGCAGCAGTTGTCAGCTTAATAATTAGAGAGATGAAGTTACTTCCAGTGGAGCACCAGCCTTCTTCATGGTAGTTTAATTTGAACACATCTTTGGTTTGGGGTAAGATTTTTTTTTCTTTTTTTTTGCCTGTTTTTATGTAGACTGGTAATATTTGCACTTCAGACCTTCGTCATTAGGAACCTGAGCTCCGTTCTCCCTTGGCCAGTGGCTTCCTGGTATCACTGGGGAAGACCCGTGAACTGCTGCTGCAGCAGTTTAAGACCTGGCCCCGAGCGGCAGCGCTCAGACGTGCCCCTGTTCACTGCCTCATGCCCTGAGCTGGAGGTTTTGGAACTTTTGACAGACTTTGGCGCTTTGCTCAGTCTCAAGCCCACCTAGACTCCAGGTACTGAGTGTTTCTCCAGCCAAAAGTCCTCCAAGGCACCCAGTCCTAGAGGCACCTTAGAGCACACCTAGAGCTTACCCTCTCCTTTCCAAGCACTGCGGTGGCACCACTTGTGTCTGAAGTACATTAAAGTCTCCAAGTAGTTGGCAATACAGTGATAATGTTTCCATCCCTGAGCTCAGCAGCATTGTGTGGATGGATGGAGGAGACTAAAGCAGAACAGAAACATGTTTTGAGGATATGTTTAGCTGGAATGGGAATGAACCTGATCAGGCAGCAGGGGTTTGCTGCATTGAGCAAGAGCTGGACAGCACATTTGGTTGATGTTCATTTTGGTAGGATGGAGTATTCTGACAGAAGAGGTAAACTATGGCACACGCCAGTGGAGTGGTCAATAGAGACATCTGGGAATACAGATCATTCAGGCATTATAAAACCARTTAAACCACCAGAAGACCTTAAAAGCACCACAGAATTAGACAAAAYTGTGCTGCAGCACGCCTTCCACCCAGATTCTCTAAACATTTACTTTTAATTAATTTTCTTAATTGCATAACAGTGTACTTCCTAATTACACTGGGGAACC